TGGTGCCCTCCCCCCCCGCCACACTGCACCGAGGGGAAAACAGCAGGAAAATGTCAGCTCTTCAAGCCGAGACGCCTTCAACAGCTGTGCAGAATTTTGATTCCGGTCTGAGGTTCGTGCCCCCAATTGCGGGCCACTGGCACACCCGCTCTTGCAATAATTATTGTGCGATATGGAGTATCACCAGGGGGAGGAGAGGGCAAGGGGGAACCTCCTTTGGAAGCCATTTTTTAGCCACTCTTTGGCTTGATCTCGCCCGCTCTCTCTCGCTCTCTGGCGGCATCGCTGGGAGTTATGCAAGAAGTCTGCTGCCACAAGTTGCAGCAACTTTTCTGGTTAGCTCTGCGTGTGGCAGCAGGCGGCGGCAGTAAGCCAGTGGCGGTGGCACTGCAGACCGCAGCTCGAGGCGGCAGGGAGCGGAGTCTGGAGTCTGGAGTCAGTCGTATCATAAACTTGCACGTAACCAAGCGCCGCTCCCCTCCCGGCCTTAGAGGGGGGGCAGTCGCATAGTTAAATATGAGCTATGTGCCGCAAATGCGAGTGTCTAGTGTGGCACCAGCACTCCCCGCCACTCCCCGGCACACACTCGTAGATAAACAGACAGTGGCGTCGCGCATTCCACATTATAAGCATAAATCCCGCAAAAACTATAAAAGGACATGGACACGGGCGCACAAGGGACAGGGACGAGGGTGCGAGGCGGGGTGCGAGGCTGTGGCTGTGGCTGTGGCTGCCACGTAGTGCGAATGTGCGAGGGGAGGGCGCGCGTATATTTGATGATTAATTGCAGCCAAGATGATAAATGATTGAGGGTAATAGAGGAGTAGCAAATGTGTGGCAGAGGCACAGTGGCACGAACGACGACACCAAGGGTGTGTGTGTGTGTGTGTGTGTGTATCGGAGGGCATTTAAGGCCCACAGATGCTTGGCCCGCACGTTGGTTCCTCCCTCCCCCCTTGCCCCTGCCCCTTCTGCCGCAGAACAAACATATTTTCAGCAATTGCACGTATTTCGGATTTCTCTCACTCTCTCCCTTGCTCTCTCTTTCTCCCCCTTGTCTCTAGTTCTAGGTCTTTGTCTCTTTCGCTTTCTTCCTCTCTTTCTGGCACTTCCTTTTGCTTTTTCTTTGGCTTTTTTGCTGTGTTTGCTGGAAAAAAGAACTCTGCCACTGCCGCTGCCACTGCCGCTGCCACTGCCACTGCGACGTGTTTTAGTCAATGAAGTGGGTGTCTGCGTGTGTGTGTCTGTGCCTGTGTGTGTGTGTGGCTTATTATGTGCGTGTGTGTGCGTGTGTTGTGCATCTATCTTCATGAATTTCCCAACGGCAACAGCTCCGTTTTCTCAGCGCTTTTTTTTCTGGTTTTCTTCCGTTTCTTTTTTTTTTTTGTATTTTTTCTGCTCTTTTTGGTACGTGCCATTTTTGGGTTTTCTGCCACGATTTTCGTGTGTTAAATGTTAACTGCTGATTGCATATTGTCGAAGGTGGTTGCCTGGGGGCAGGGGGCAGTAACCAGGGGCGGGGGCGGGCTGAATGGAAATATTTAATATTAAAATGTAATTGGGAAATATGCAAAGATATTCCGTTGGACGGATAGACAGAGATTTAGATTTATTTCGATTTATTTCGATTGATTTAAATTTATTTAAATTTATTTAAATTGATGGTTTAAATTTGTGCAACCGCAGCACAGGGACCTGCCACTGCCACAGAATGTGGCTAATACGCTGGGCGAAAATCGCATAGAATCCGCTTAGATTTTCACAAATTAAAACCAATATCCAATGGCCAATGGCCAAGAGCAAACGGCTAAAATAATACCGAAAACTCGCCAAATTCTATAAATGAAATTAATCGCAAATAGTTTTGCGGGTGGGGGAAATTGTGAGGAGGGCGGGGCGTTCCCCCTCTCATCAAACGGAAAAACAAAAGGAAAATTCAATTCATTTTCGGGATTTTTCGCTCGTCAAAATGAAAGGAAAATACGGTTTAGATTCCAGATTGGAGTGGAAATGAAATAAATTAAGAGTAGAAATCCCCCTCACCGCCCCCGCCGCCCCCTGATGCCCAGAATGGCATTTATTTTTCTTGGTTTCCAAAAACAGCCCACCAAAAAAGAGCTAAAGATACAAATGCAGATACAAAGATACACATAATGTATGCAGCAGATACAGATACAGATACAGATACATATGCCAGAGCCGCAGCTTGTTTGTCTTTGCCACTGAGGCAGCAGCAAAGGCAACAATTTGAGGCTCAACAGCTGTTTAAATGGAAATGAGACACAAGTGTTTCCCAGCGACGGACGGACGGAGGGACGGAGGGACGGACGGACGGATGGCACCGTATTATGCCTCATAACCATGGCATAATCACTCCCCTCCCCCCTCTCCCCTCCAGCTAAAGCACTTCCCCCCAATAACAATTACAATAAAACAATAAGCAAACAGCAAAACGCAGCCGCCGCATCGGAAGCAGGCGGAAGTCAACGGAAATAAACAAAACATCCATCCGCAAGTTCTAATTACAAAAGGCCCCAACCCAAACAGAGACAGGGGGAGAGAGTGGGGGAGTTGGGGGGGAGAGAGAGGGCGTGGGAGATCGCTTGAGAAAGTTCCAGTACGAAATTCGTGGTTCTGCTCCTTTTGATGTCCTTGCCACCTGCCCGCCGCCCCTGCAACGCCGACAAAACTTTTATTAAATGCAGCAATTTAAAGTTTTTAGCCCCGAATCAAATCTAACCGCTCTTGAGGCCAGGCCGCAGCGGCAAATACCTTAAAAAATACTACAAATATTAGCCAGAGAGGAGAAACCGCTTTTGATCGCAGAGAATGGTTCTAGTTTAAGGAGGAAAACCCCTCCTCTTTCATCTAGTACAAGATATGAGTCTTGGCCTCTTCGCTGATATGTTTATCCATGGAAATATCCATGAAACCCCTTAACTTTCAGCCATGATCTAGGATATGATCTGATTCCGGGCTCCTCCTTAGCGGCCTCCTCGCTGACGCTGCCAATACTTCAGCAGCTTGCCTCAATCAAGTATTCAGGCTGGCAGGCCATCTCTTTGGTTTCAATTTCAAGTTTGCACAAACTTTCGCAAGTTCCGACTTTCCGACTTTCCGACATAAGGGTATCCGAAGGAACGGCATCCCGAGCAGAAGCGGCAGCCCCAAACGTCAGCGACAACGACGACGAATACAAAATACAAAAAGTTATGCAAAAATGTGTACTCGAGTTCAATTAAAAGTTTTTAAGTTGTGCAAATGAAACGAGTGCATCGCGACTCGCGACTCGCGACTCCCGGCTGCCGTTTCCATTCCAAATTCGACTTTAACTTCGACTTCGACTCAGACTCAGACTCGCACTTGATACGAGTACGAGTATCCAAACTGCTGATGGAAATTCCACAAAATTCATCCAAAATCTAGTGCTTGCAGGATTGAAACATTTTCATGTGCCTATTTCTGTGTATTTTGATGGAATTTCTGGCTGGAAATACTTGAAATATCTATCTGCTGGCTGTGTTTGTATCTTTTGTTGTGCGTGGATGCTAAATAAATAAACTGAGGGTGTGAAAAATTTGTTCATTCTTAATTTGCAGCGAAACCTGAAACGGTGGCCAAAGAGCGGCACAGCCTCCGACTTGTCGCAGATTTCTTTCATCGCAAATGGGAAAACAGAAACAAAAACAGAATACAAAATACAGACACCCCGCCACCCTCTGTCCCCCTCTGCCCCCTCAAAGTCGTAACACAATCTTCTTATGCGTCAGTTATTTTTTTGATAACACCCCAAGACGACCCCCCCGCGGGTGCCAGAGAGGGAAAGAGAGGGAGAGAGAGAGGGGGGGGGCCAGTAGAAGCCACGAAAAGCTGTCTGCAATCAGCTGGCGGCGGTCTTCGATTCGTTTTATCAGAGAAAACACTCGAAAAAACGAGCAACAAAAAATAATAAATAATAAAAAGAAATGCCACACACAAACACAGAAAAACACACATACAAAATTGGCAAAAAAAGAAGAAAAGAAAAGATTAAATGTCTGTATATAGTACAAGTATACATTTATTTAGTATATATATTATGCATGCCGCGCGATGATAACCGAACCGAGCGCTGAGTTTGCTGGGTTGCCGCTGGTTTGCTGCTGGTTTGCGAATTTCTACTTATTTATGGCCCCGGCACATCTATTTATTCGGCTGGCCCCATCTTTTGTTGGGTTTTTCGCGCAAACAAAACTGAAATACATATCAGTCCGGGAGAGACCATAGAAACACACACACACACACATACATATAGAGGGCACACACACACACTTGGAGCACCCGAAAAGCTTATCAAGAGTTTATAATTTCTGGCGATTTAATTTTAGACCGTGCGGCAGGTAAGCTGGAATACGCAGACCTTGAAAACAAAACACTAAACACTTTCGCCTCTAGCCCCTCTAGCACCTCTGGCCCCTCCAGCCCCTGTGGCCCCCTCTAGCGATCGACCAAGATTGCGCAATGCCCCAAAAGGAAGTCGAAGAAAAGTCGCCCAAGTCGGCCAGGTCTTTCGATAAAATTGAGGAATTAAGTAGTCGAGTCTTTTGATAAATTTCCAAACACAAAGCAAACACAAAGCTCTGCTGGAAGGTGACGTCAATCGGGGGGAATGTGGCGGACAATTATGAGGGGAAATGGGAACAGTCTGTTCTATGAGAGGAAAACCAAATGGAAAGCCAGAAACCCCCATAATCTTGAGCACTATTCCCTCTCTGCTATCGCCGAACTACTTTAGTTTATTGAACAACAAAAACTAGATCAATTAACATTGAAGAGCATGGAATGTTTGCGATTAGATTAGCCAAAGGGTTCAGCCCAAGATTGTGCTGAAATTCCCTTAAGAACTGAATCATCTTTCGAAAAGGTTGCAATGGTCTGGGAATGCTCCCATATCTACCATCGAATAGGCACTGATTCGGTATCGTTTTGATAAGCATAAGATGGGGATTCGGGCCACAAACCTGTTGCCATTGATCCTCAATGGAGGGCTGCGACGAGAAGTAGCCGGTGGTGCAGATGCGCTCCAGTTCGCTGAAGATATTCCCACTCGGTAGGATATCCATCTCGAAGTCCTCTTCGGTGAATCGCAAAAACTCTAGGGACTCCGTGGTGAGGCCGTTGCAGTAGGGTTTTGATTGATTGATTGATTGAATGCGGCTCAAAGTGCTGCTCGTTGAGGTTTGCTATATGCTATATGCTATATGCTTTGTGCTATATGCTATAGATCTATGTACTATATGTATATGCAGATGGTTATGTGTATTATTTTTTTGATTGAATTTTGATTTCAGAGAGATTGTTGCTTCCCAGCGCTGGCGGGGGCCGCTGTGGGCTGCATTTTGACACTCGCGTCTGTGGATTATCTGTGGATATATACTATATACTGTATGGGATCCACACACACTTATCTTTCTCGCACTTTATTTTGTTAATTTTCTTCTCAACTAATTTCATTTGGGGTTTCTTTGATTTCGCACTTTTTCACATTAATTGCTTTTCTATTTGCTTTTTCCTATTTTTTTTTTTAGATTTTTATGAATGCATTTCCATAATTTTTTCTGTTGTTTGTTTGTTGGTTGGTTTTTTTTTGTTAGCTGCAAGTAAACAAAAAAATGCATAAATAATCATTAATTATGGGTTTCTTTTGGGGGCGGGGGGGTGTAGCGGGGGGGTTCTTTAACCCACATTCTTTTTGGCCTGTTTTCATCTTCTGCCGAGTCATCGCCCGTCATTCCAAATTATTAATTATTCTAGTTTTATTTATTTTTATGGTTTTTTTTGCGCTCTCTAGTGGGAATATTTTCAATATTTCTTTAAAAATAGATCTCGAGGTTTTTCGCCCCGTCGTACAATCTCGAATTGGTTTCAGTTTCTGGTATCTGTTTTAGCCATGCTCAACACAATTTGGAAAACACAGTTTTGGGTCAGTAACCCCGATTCGAGCACTACACCCGTGTGCATACTTCTCTGGGCGAGTGTGTGTGTGTGTGAGTGTGTGAGTGTGCTCGGGTCGGATCAATTTGATTATTATTATAGTCAACAGGGGCCCTCTCTCTCTCCCTGTCTCCCTCTCCCTGTTTCGGCCTGGCCACAACTCAGCCTTAACCGCCGCCTGAGTTTTTCTTTCGTTTCTAAGCGCTTGGCGTCCCTCTCTCTCTCTCTCTCTCTCTCTCTCTCTGGTGTCTCTTTTGCTCTCCCCTTTCCTGCTGCAGTCGCGGTCTGTTGTCGGTTTTTACTACCTGTTTCTTGTTGTTGTTTGAGCCGGGCCGGGACGGGCTCACATCGTTTTCGTGTTAACTGAAAAAAAGAACCACCAAAACCGAGTCCCAGTCCCAGTCCCAGTCCCAGTCCCAGCCCGTTGACCGTGTGCGCTTTTGACTTGAATTCTGTTTTGTTTCGGTTTTCGTTTTTCGTTTTCGGTTTTGTTTTCTTCTTTGGTTTGTTGTGTTTGTTGGTACAGTTTTGTTGTTTCTGTTGCCCGATGCATGCGGCACATGTGGCGCTGTCTCTTTCGGGGCCCAAATTAGAACTTTGCACTGCAGTTCTCTGTCTTTCGACAAAGGCAAACTTTCATTTGGTTTTGGCCTAAAAAATAATGCCCCGGCCCATCTCCCCGTCCCCTCCCCCTCACTCTCCACGCAGTCCCGCAGTCAATGGCATTTTTATGTTCCCGACTGTTTTCCCCATGAGTCCCATCGGTTCCACCACATTATGGGACTCCTCTCTGACGCTCTCCCTCCTTCTTTGTAGGAGTGTCTGCTGTTCCTATCCCTACCATTCCCGGGCTCTATTCTATGACAATAAGCATTGGCTTATTGATTTTCCAGCATCCAGCATCGAGCATCCACCAATCCAGACAACAGCATTTTCCCCAGCATCCCATCTCGAATCGAGAACCTTTTCACACACTTGTCCTGCGCTCTGAAACTCTTCCTGTTTTATTGTTAGACGTTCGACGTTAGATGTTACACCTCCCCCTCCCCCTCCTCTACCACTCCCCTCCCCTGACGGTCGTTTTCATTTTGATTATCGAACATTTTTATCGCTTTGACGTTTTTACAAGTTTGTATTATATCCACACTCTTAGAGAAGAAACACCAGGGAGAAGGGAGATGGGAGAAGGGAAAAGGGAAAATCGAAACAAAAAGTTATGTCTCTTATGTCTGGGGTACAGTTCTGAGGTCCCTGTGTGTCTGTGTGTCTGTGTGTGTGCGTTGGCCATTGTCCAGGGCCGCTGGAACCCCTTATTGGGAGCGGGAGAAGGGGGCAGGTGGCGGGTGAGGAGTCACATTTCGCTTGAAATTTAATACGATTTTCATATTGAACTTTGGGCTTTAGGTAGATTGTTTTTTGGTCTAATTAACTGTTAACCCAGTTACAGTTGCAGTTCCCGTTCCAGCTGCAGTTTCAAGTTGCACGAGTGCCGTGGAGTTGAAACAATCAAAAAAACAAGCAGTGGAGCCCACACGGAAACCCACATGAAGCGGTCGCCCACTCTCACTCCTCCTCCTCCTCCTCCGCCTCCTCCTTTCTATTGCCTGCATTTATGATTGCAGCATCCAGTAACCGAGAGAGCTGCCTCCACAGCAACAGCAGACACACACACACACACACACACGTAAAGATACTTTACTCAAAGACCCTTCAATCAACAACTTAACGCGCCACGCGGCAGCCGAGAGACAGCGCTAGAGGCGCTTCTTCGCTCCCTGCCGCACGTTCTCTGTCTCTGTCTCAGTCTCTCCTCTTCCTCCACTCCTTCTGCCTACGTGCGTTTTAATTTCTTGTCCGCTGCTGCACGGCCACTTGCCTCCCCTCCCGCCCTTTCCAGACCCAAGACGGATCTTCCAGGGTAGCCACAGCCACAGCCTCGACTGCCGGCTTTCTTGTTTTGGTTTTGTTTTTCCCCATTTTAAAACGGAATTTTAAGCGTTCAAGAAAGCACATGCTTTTGGGGTCTTTTCTCCCCCTTTGCCCTTCTCTCCCGCTGGTTTTTTGAGTCAGAGACAGCAACAGGGAGAACCGAGAGAAGAGAGAAGAGAGAAGAACTGGCGACGACCTTAACGGGCATGCTGCCAGGGACGGGGCCCCGAGACGGACTCTCGAGGAGGCAGCAACAACAACAACAACAACAACAACAATGGACACCAACGAAACGTCATCAGCAGTTCAACGGATCTTTGCCTGCATTTGTTGTCCCTCTCCCTCTCGCTCTCCCTCTCCCCCTTTTTTGTGTCTTACTTTGTTTTCATCTTCGTTCCATGACTTGGCATTTCCATCCATGAACTTGATGCCTCCCCCCTGTGCCCCCCCTTGTCCCCTCCCACGCAAAAACTCTTTTGTTTCCAGTGTAATATTTCCTGCCAGCCGCCCCCGAAAAACAAATCAACACTTTGTTCATTTCACACGTGAATTGCTTTCAAATAAAATCCCAAAACCGAATTGGAAAATGGAAAATGGAAAATGGTATGCTCTGCTCTCGGGGCTCTCGGGGCTCTCGTTGGTCTATTTTTATATCAAAACTTTGTTTACATTCCAATTCGAGTGGGAATTTTCCTCTAGAAATAGAGAGGGGCACACACACACACACACACACACACACACACACACACGCATACCAGGGAAATTCTCAATTAGAAAATCCTCGTTTCATTTCGATTCTGTTCCTGCGGTTGCACGCGGATTGACATTGCCCCAAAAAGGTGCCCACAAAATGCTGCAAACTGCGGCTTTTCCTGGCGGTTTTCCGCAATTAATTCGCATTAAGCTCGAAATGGGGGATTCCTGGGGATTTGTACCTGTTGGCGGCCACACCGCAAGAAGAAGCCTCAAGGAAACGCCACAAGAAAATTTCGTGCCCCGCAAGAAATACCGTTTCATGGGGTGTCGCCTCCCTATTTCAGTTGTTTGGATCATTTATTTTTAGCCGGAAAATCGCTTGCGTGTGTTTATAAACAAAACGTTATTTATGGGCTCTATTTTACTTTGTTTTATTTTCGTACAGTCAAATAAATATTAATAAAGACCCCGAAGGCGACAGAAGACACTCTCGACGGGCCGCCACATGTGGCATATCTTTAACTGGTGGAAAGGGGGGGGGGGGGGGGGAGGGGTTCCATAAATCAGTGGCGGACCAGACAGAATTAGCCAAAACTCTTGGAATTCTCCTATGTTGCGTGCCCCAACCATTACACCGTTAAAGGGTATTAGCAACATTCCCGTTAATGCTGGAGATCTCTTGCCACACTCTCGCCGCCCCTCGACGCTGAGTAATTGGATTACAAAGTGAAGCTATTGGTAAATATTTGGTGTATACACAAGAAACAGCAACCCAAGGGGCAGGTATTCCATATCTATCCACTGTGGGGCAGGGAGGGGGTGCTGTGGCGATATTGATATTTGCAAGGGGAGACCAAGGGAAACTGGAAAAGCAGAACCGATTCGTATGAATCGTAGAACAAGTGCAATGCCTCTGTTCTGTACAAGAGTGTATCTGTGTGTAGAAGTAGTTGTGGCAGTAAATATATGTATTTCTTTATTATTCATGTTTATACGATTATTGTCGTTTTGGCGCCGACGAGTCAACCGTCAACCGCAGTGGAAATTGAAAAATACTCGATGCATGAATCAACCAACAGCCAGCACTCGAGAACCCGTTCCGATCCGCTCGGATCCGCTCGGATCCCCCGTTCCCCCCCGTGTACTACGTGATCTCTGGGCAATCGGCAGTCGGTTGGGGGGGGGGGGCATGCAAAATTGCGCAAAACATTTGCTCTAACATTGCTGTAACATTACACACGGCATAGTATCTGGCAGGGAATTACTCATAGAGGATCCCAGTGAATCATCAATGGACGTGTCGAGAGCGAGGAATGTCCCTGCCGCACCTGCCTAACGGGCCTTCGATTCGATCTATTCGTTGTCTTGCCCCTTGCTTTACCTTGCTGCCAGTTGGTGCATGTGCAACACTTGCTTCCCGTTTCGACTGCTTCACTTTGCGGCGCTGCTGCCTCACTTTTGTGGTGGTGGTTGTTGTTGTTGTTGTTGCTGTATTTGTTGTGGCCTTTTTTTTCGCAAACACAGAAACTTGTTTGCCACACACACACACACGTACACACTCTTTCACACACACACGCGCGCGCGACGCACTAACACCAGCAACGGCGGACAGACACCTTAACGACGCGACGCGACGCGACACCGGCAGGCAGCAACAACAATAAAAGCCACAACATTGGCGGCAGATCGAGCGGCGATAACAATACAAATACAAATACAAATACAAACACAAATATTAGTATTTATTTTCTCCACTCAATAATTCTCGTTGCAACTATGTTTTTTGTTGCAATTTTCACGGCTTTAATTTTGAATTTTCCAGCCCTATTTTGTTGTATTTCTCGATAATTTTCCTCTTTGTTTTTGCTGTATTTACACTGCTGTATTCTGTTGTTCTGGATGGGTTTTCGTCTCACTTGATTCGACAGTT